CTGCGAACTGGTTTAATTTGGGCAAAAAATTCAAGAGACATTTTTTTTTAGAATGAAACAGGCTATCGGAAATAATTTTTTAAATGGTAAAAAAATAATAAGACAAAAAATTACGTTGGAAATAAATTTTAGGGGTTGCGTTTTCCACCCCTTACAACCATGGGGTAAACCAAATAAATTACTGGCTAAGTGTCTTTTTGGTAGTAGAAAATGTCAGGTTAATTTCAATATTGTAACTTGTTTAGTGCTTGTGAAAAAAATTGTTAAACAAATTTTATGTACCCCCTTTAAGGGGCTGTATCTTAACAAGGGATGCTCCAATGAAGTTTCTTTATATGAAAGATCCTATCTTTTTTTCGATGAGGAATCACCCCCTTAAATGTTTTATACTTATTTAGTTACACCCTGTATATTGTAATAATTGCAAACTGTTTAATTTATTTTTAATATTAATTTAATAATTTTTATATATATGTATCAATAGTTTTCACTTTGTTAAAATAACTTACGACTCTATTTTTGATTTTTGAAGTAAAATTTTTATAGTTACCTAAATGAAAAATATCAAATTTCTTATTTTGCCATCGGAAAAAAAGTGCCACCCCAAATATTTTGGTTCAGGGCTTAAAATGATGTTCAAGTATTGTAGAAACAGGATATCTTATTGTTTTGGAGTGACTCAAAAATTTCATTTAAATTCGCTCAGGAGCACCGTGATGGGTAATCAAATCTGTCAATGGACGGTATCTGAGCATGATAGGTTTTTAAACAAATGTATCTTGATTATTAAAAAATATTTGTGACTTTCCATTCTGTAATTTGAAAACAATTTAAAGTATTTACCTATGTTTTATATCCTAGGTACTCAAAGCAACATATTCCTACATAACGGTTATCTATTGATGAATGCACACGCAGAAGGATTCTCCATTAATGTCAGTTATAATTATTTTGCGAAATACTCACACTAAGGCACATATATAGTTTACAAGCATTTTAACGAGAAAACTTTGCACTGTAAGACTTTATATTAGTATATTATACTCGTGGCTAATAAATGACTTAGCAAGCAGAGAAATATTTTTATTTATTTTTTAAACATCCTCCTCAGACCTAAAAATTCCTGACCCAAAATAAAATTACTACTGTTGTATCGCTTTATAAATATAAATAAGTTGAATTTCAGTAAAAATCACTATACAATTTCTTTGGTCGCGTAAGATTAACTAAGTTCTAAGCTTTGTTTGTAATATTTACATATACGCTACTATTCTGTAATAGGTCTCCATCAAAATAATTGTGCGGTTGCTTTTTATGTCTGCACAACTAGAGTTGCACACATAGGATGATTAAAGACTGTTTTGCAACCTCTTTTTGACAAATAGCGAATTTCTAAAGAATTGCTCAAATCCTTAGGAATGATTTAAATCCTTAGCAATTGTTTAACGGAAAAAAATGCTACCATTGTAATTATGTTATTTCTACAAGAACAACCGCTTCTCTTCTGTCTTGTCCTTTTATAAGAAAGCATTTAATTGACACCTGCGCTTGTGCAGTAAATAAACACGTTATGACTCTGATCATCAAGTTAATACCATTGATTAGCCGTTCGAACTTTACGTACGCGGAAGTTAAGCAATCAACACAAAGCAAGTCTAATTACATGAATAATACAATTTCCGGACGTGGCTTCTTGTTCGTCTACATTCTCTCTCTGTTCCTTAATAGCTGCTTCTTTAATCGCGATAGTTTCAAAATGAAAGCTATTGTTTATCCTTGACAATGTTTCAGCGGTAATTATTAGTTTCAAAGTTACTTTTGATAATAGGAAAGATTAGATGCTAAGTAGCTTTATGATGTGGAACAATGTATAGCAAATTTCTGTAGAGTAATTATCATTACCAGAGAGTTTTAGAACAAAAATCTATATTTTACTTACGCTGTATACCTATTTCATCGTCTCAATGTTTCAATTTGATCAGCGTTTTAATAAAATTCCACCTTTCTATTTATAACAAAAACAAGTTTTTGCACAGAACTGAATAGGTATACAAAAATCCATGTGGGTGGTAAGTGTATAAAAATACTTATATTTTATAACTTCCCACACGCGTGAATAGCGGGGATAACGAGATATTAGTTGTTGCTTTTTATTGAGTGTTGCATACTTATAATCCGTGCCAAATTTTAATTTGATATTTTTTGTCGTTGTTAATCATATCCGAGACTACATTTACAGAATCTTTTTACTTCAAACCAAAATAACTGTTAGCTGTAATCCCTATTACCTGTTCTCATTTAAGCCAACTTTTTTTTGAAGCGATAACCCAAAACAACATAAAAATCATAGATTTAACCTATTTATCAAGGTATATTTTACTTAATTTATTTAAATATCTGGAAATAACTGCAAGTGCGGACGAAAAAAGAAAGTTGCACACACTAAGAATATTTAACAGTATTAAAAGTGTCAAATAAATTATCTCTTATTTTTGTTCCTAAAGCCCGCTCCAGGTGAAGCGATATGTTGCCGATGTACGGTTATCACAACATAAATAGTATGTTTTAAATTCTTGTAGATATAAATTAATTTGTAAAGTATGAGGCCTCAAAATATTTTATGTTTTATTTTTTTCTGTTAATACAAAGTATTCTTTTGTTTGTCAATACATTTCCCTTAGCTACCAGACCCTAGCTGATCTGATAAAAATAACTAAATATTATATACAAAGATAGGTAATAAGATATAACTACAGGTAATAAGACAATCACAACAGCTAGTCCCCCTTCAAAAAAAATATATCAATTTAAAACGAATGTAACCTTTTTCTTTTGATAAATGCTACATGACGTGTTTTCTAAATTTTTTGCCAACATAAATGCAGGTTTGACTCTATCTAAGCTGAACACCATTTCTTTATTATCTTTGAGGATAGCTAATGTGTTGTCGAATCTCTTAATAATCTTGTAAGGGCCTTCATAGTTAGGTAATAAACAAGATTTAAGTTTTGGAGACCTATGTATTTACAGGTTAACAAGTCTGCGGAAATAAAAGGTTTATTATTTGAATAATTACTAGTCGTAGTAGGTTTAATATTAGCGAAAGCTTCTCGTAAACCAGTGAGTACAGGATAAGTGTCAATGCTCTGCTGTGAATTGATAAAGAATTCACCTGGTAGTGTTAAAGGTTGACCAATTTATTAATTTCTTTGTTGCGCGTATTCCCGGATGAGAAATTTTATGAAGTTCGTTAAATATTTTAAATCGAAAGTTTTTGGGAACATAAATTCTAGGTGAAGAAGAAACTTCGCACCACACTCATTCTTCAGACAAAGATATATTTTCTTGTTTCAACAAATATTTACAATTTGTGTTACTCTGATTTTTTAATAAAAAGATCTGGATCTTCCTGTTGATCTTGTCTTAGCAGTTCTAAATCAATAGTTTTGTGAGAATCTAAACTACTTAGCTCTTCTTCATATGTACTTGATAAACAATCAGCTACTACATTAGTTTTACCTTGTATGTGTCTGATATCTGAAGTAAATTGTGCAATGAACTCAAGATGTCTTATTTGTCGTGGGCTTTTTTGTGATTTTGAACTTAATGTATTTGTTAATGGTTTGTGGTCTGTGGAAATGGTAAGTTCGTGACCTTCCACTGCATATCTAAAATGTTTAATAGCTAGAAAAACTGCTAAGAGTTCGCGATCAAAAGTTGAATATCGAGTTTGTGTGGGCGTTAATTTTTTTGCGAAATAACTGATTGGTATCCACTTTCCATCATTTAATTGTTCTAATACTGCACCTACACCCGTATTCGATGCGTCTACAGTTAAAGACAACTTTCCATTGCTGATTGGATGTGATAAAATAGTTGCATTTGCTAACAGTGTTATTGCAGCTTGAAAACTATTCTCACATTCTTCTGCCCAATCATTTATGGATTTTTGTCTATTATTTTATAATGTAGTGGATAATTTATGTAATGGTATAAGAATTTGAGCAAAGTTTGGTGTGAATCTGCGATAAAAGTTTACCATTCCGATGAACCTTTGTAATTCTTTTTTTTTGGACGTGGAAAATCTCGAATTTCCTCTACTTTTGACTCTGATGGCAAGATTCCTTTTTCAGAAATGATATGACCTAAAAATTCTAACTGTGACATTCCAAATTGACATTTTGTTGGATTGATATTAATTCCATAAGAACCTAATCTTTCAGAAAGCTTTGTTAGATGTTCGATATGTGTAGTTTAATCTGAGCTTGCTACTAAAGTGACGTCTATGTACACGAAAACAAAATTTAAACCTGATACTACCTCATTAATAAATCTTTGAAATGTTTGTGCTGCATTTCGTAGTCCGAAAGGCATTCTAAGAAATTCGTAGAGACCGAAAGGAGCAGATTGTAAAAAATCTGCTTCTATTATAGGCTTAGTTACGTCAGCTATAGTAAAAACGTAAGGAAAATTACGTCTTAAACCTAAATTGACTTTTATAATTTTCTTTCCATAAATATGGATAATTGAACCGTTAGCAGCAATAAGAAAAGAGTCTTTATCTCATTCATAGATTTTAAAAACATCTTTACGATCTACAGAAATATCGGCTCCAGTGTTTATTAAAAATTCAAGCTTATTATGATTATCAAAAATGAAAAGGCGACGTGTTGACTTCTCCACATTGCTAGTCGCCGGAGCAATGTGATTTATTCGTTTTTTGTATGTGAAGCTAATACTGACATTTTCTAGCGTCTTTTTTAAATTTTTGGTGGAAATAACATAGTAAATCATTTGAATTTGACTTATGAAATCTATTAGGGGATTTACTGCGAGATCTATGCCTAAATTTGCATGAATTACAAGTATATGTGTTGGATGTTGAGACCTTATTAAATGAAGAAAATTGGTTTTGTAAAGCTGAGACTTGATTTTCTAATACTGATTGTTTTTGTGACAATGTTTGTAAAATATTCTGACAGTTGATTGAAAAATCATTAAATGCTGAAACTAACTGATTACCTGTTTTATGGACAACCTTATCTGACCCTGGTCTTGAAGTTAATGAAGATACATTGTTAAAATTGTGATTATAATTTGGTAATTGATAACTTTCCCAAATTTTGTCGGCTAAATCTACAATTTCATTGACACTTTCCTTACCCGATGCTGTAACTGCAACTAAAATTGGTTTCGGTAAACGCCTTTTCCACAATTTTAAAAGAAGATCTTGGCTGACAACTTGTGAACCTCATACAACGTTCATCATGTCTCTGAAAAACTCTGATGGCTTCCTATCGCCCATTTCTGATCCACTGAGAAGTTCATCTAAACGTTTTTCTTCACTCGCTGTTAATCTATTAATAATTATATCTTTAATGGTTTGATACAAATTTTGTTGCGGTGGCTTAGCTATAATATCAGATACATTAGTTACTACTTCTAATGGTAAACTAGATATTGTGCCTCGATTTGCGTAAACCAAATTTCTCGCTTTGAAATCCAAAATGGTGGCAATTTGAAAGAAAATATTTGATTACTATTGTTAATGTCATTGTCATTTTCAATAGTATTATTCTGAATTGAATTTGAAGTCATTTAGCAATTATTATGATATTTAAATATAAAATTTTACGTTACTGATAATGTAGGCAGAGAGTAACTGAGTAAGTGTCTTACCGTTGGTCGATTCAAGCTATATATATTTTTTAAATTGCTGCAAAATCTTGAATTATCTTCCTTATTCTCAAACTGCTTTTGCTTGTCCTGAAAACCGGTGATGATTTCGTGTTCCTCTTTGTCGGGCGTTTTGCTTCTGGTGAGGTTCTTCTTCGGCCACGTGGAATGTATTACGTCGGATGTATTATATGACTGTTTACTTTACTTTACTTTACTGTTTTCCCGTGGAAGTGAACAGAAAAGAGTTATAAGCGAAAAACATG